TTTTATTTAAAAAGTATCTTCTCTTTTGAAAACATCAATTTGGGGACACTTTATCTGTCATTTTAGGAGAGGAAGAGTTTACCTATGAATTTCGTGTGAGAACCACGTGATTCTCTTCGAGTTTCCCTTAGTCAAATCCACATCTTTAAATTTACGACGCTGGAATCAGAGTGTAACCGTGTTTGGATCAAAATTCTTTGCTTTTGCTGACCCCCTTCCCGGCTTCATCTTCAAGCGTAGTTCATAACAAATCCGGCCAGCCACAAGATCACACGTGACTAGAGCTCCGAAACCTCCGCGTTGATGATATGCCTGTTAAGGCTGGGCCACTCAGCCCGCTACGGGAGAGGACACTGGAATTACCTGTTCGGATTCGTCTTCCGATGCTCTGGCTTGGACTTTTCAAGCTCCACTGTGGAAAAACTGCTGTGTCCCAAATAGGTGATTGAATGAATGAACTATGACCCAAGATGGAACCAGTGTACCACCAATCTAATTAATTTACTTCTAAGTAATTGAGAGAGAGAGAGTATACCGGTCTATCAGTAACTCTGAGATCACCAAGTAGCCAAATTCTGTTGAATTGGAAATCTCACTTGCAGGTATTGTAGGCGGGAAAATCACCCGCATGCCTCAGTCGAAAACATCAGTGTGCATGAATTTTCGTTATTTGTTTCAGATCAGCGTAACTAACAAAAACGTGGTATCTGGGGTCACTCGGATGTTCCTCAAAAATCCCATCACCATCTTTGTTGCAGTCATTGTATACAAGGGTATGTGCATGCGTACCGGAATTGCGTTCAAGTGTCCCAATAATCTGTCACTTCTAACTACCGATTTCATCTACAGAAGTGAAGCTGAGATGAACACTATAGAGTCATCGGAGAACGAGAACAATTTGAGATCTCGGAGGTACCGACGAGTTGCTAAACTAATACTGCGTGCAATCAATCCAGGAAAAACGAACTATTTATAGATTGAAATGTAAATGACTGAACATGCCACTTGTAAATGTCGCGGAAAAGGTCGAGTAATGATTGAAACCCTAATTGTGAAATCATTTCGTCCGTGTACGCACACATGCCAGGAACGCGTGGGAAATTCAGTGAGGTAATTATTTATCTATACAAAATCGTTTATTGCACTTGGGTCGGTGAGCAAGTGAGCTTTCGAGTGCAACTGGACAAATATAGTGGGATGGATCCATCGATTTCGGTCATGAAAACAGAGGAAACTGCCAAAGCTCTTAAGCCCAAGTTTTAAAGGTGAAATATCATAACTTCATCATCATTCGCACGCATATGAACATTGCAAAAGTGCGTTGGACAAAAGGAGAAGGCCAATAACAATCCCCTGCATAGTTGTCACACGAGTTTAAAACGTATTCGAAAGGACTCTCACACAAAAACTCTTCCTACCAAGATTTAGCCATGACTCATACATAGTCTCCTGGCCTCGATGCACAAACTTCAGTCATGTCACTTTAGGCGAGTCAAATCAAAAGGTATCGAAATATTCCGAGGTCAATGAATGTCGAAACATTCGGTTTTCTACAATGTTACATGCATTCGTTTTCGCCTGTTGTTCGAGGTTGAAAATTTGTTTGCCAATGTCTCATCAACAGACGTGGTACCACATCCAAAACACGGGAGATGCCACCGCAGCCGTTAATGAAAAGTTCGCAAACAAATTTCAAAGCTCGTGGTTCCCAGAACATCCCCTGTTATCTGTGTTGCGATCAATGCATAAGTGCACACGCACGAATCGAAAGGATACTGTGAGAGTATGCGCTTGTTTGGATCAGAGCTTGATTCAAGCTACCACAAATCCAAACTAATTATTTGTAATTTTTAAACACTGGTTGTCTGCAGTAATGGAACTGAGAATTCCACTCATGGGGTTTGAGCATCTCAAAATTTGGCGAATCGGAACTTCAGAGTTACTAGCATATATGTACATCAGTATAGTGATTATTCATGCAAAAATGAAGTAGAAATGCTCGGCAGAGGAGAGGTTTTTTGAATTTCATTTGATGTTACAATCGATCTGATTTGGCGTACTGATTGTAACCGTCTGGAGTAAACCGTGTTTCAGATACCATCCTAAATAAAAGTCCAGTGGGGTCACATTTAGTGAATACAGTGGCCATTTGTGTAACTGTCGTCGACCGAAAACTTCATCTGAATATTCTGGCACTGATTGTGCTCGATGCGGTGCCAGACCGTCTGATGGAGATCAGATCCTTTCACGCACACCCAGGAATCAAAACAACAGCACCAATTCATTTGTAGCCGGTTTGTTAATACTGCTCCTGTGAAATGCAAAACATCTCTTATCTGTGAGATGCCCTCGAGAGAAAAAATGGTACAACTATTCGTAATTCTATTAGTTCAGCTCACAACTAGCATTCAACTGTACTGTAACTCGGAAATGATATGTAGTGTGGAACTGACGGTAACCCGGCAATGGTGTCGTCTACACAATCCGATCACACAAAACACCGTCTTCATTACTTCAAAAATTTGAAATAACCCACTTCTTTATCATCAAGTTCCAAACAGGCGATTTCTTCTTCAAAAAGACGGTCATAAATAGGAACATAAAGAATAAAGTTCTAGATGAAGTCACATTTATCCTCTGGTGACTGCATCATCGGTTGAATCAATGTGGATTTGAATCCAGCTTTCATGAAATCGTTGATCAGTACGTGCGGGTGCACAGACACCCGAGATTTCTTGACCAGATGTATGCCCATGAGGATGTCCAACTCGGGTTTCATAAGTTGCTCATCTTTTATCAAAGACAAAACATATTCCAGTAAATGTTTCCAAAACGAACATTTGAAAGACCAAATCACCCCTGATTCATTGGTTGTAACATTGAAGAACAGTTCGGAGGCAGCCGTACCAATTTGACATTGGAGAACACTGCGCCTTGGTTATGGCAAGGGCCGTTGTCCATAAATAACAAAACAGAGCGCCTTCGAAGAACCATTTTGCGGTCCACATCGGACAGCCAACTGTGAAATAGCGCAGAAGTCATCCATTCTTTGATGAATTATAACTGCGTGGAAGGCTTTTTCTATCTATACCTCGGAAGCGTCATGGAGTTTGAAACTTTCCATTCGCCAACAGTGATAACTTTTCTCCAGTCATGCTCCCACAAAGCAGTAACGTGACTTTCTCTTTGGATTTCTTGGACCCAGAAACTGTCTCTCCTTTTAGACTTAATGTCCGCTATGGGATCTTTCTGTAATACAAAGCTGTTTCATCTACACTGAGAATATCACAATCAGCATATACATACATCAACAGTGGTAACCCCGTTCGAAACTCGTCCACTGCACCACGTGGTGCCGCTAAACTTTCCCCACAAGCCTATAAAGCAATGTGCATGATTTGCTTGTTTTTTAATTCGTACGACTGAATATCATATCTACCTGACCAAGGGTGAAGCCAACCTTTGGAGGCCTTGAAGTCATTATAATGCAAACTTTGAGCTAGCTAGATTGCCTTCTTACATACGATGCTCTCCAGGATTGGGAACTCTCCGTGCTTTTCTGTCATAGCAGTAAACCAAGCCAAAGTTTCCTCATTCACTGCCTTGAACTTTCCGTTGGTTTTCAGGTGGCATCTTTCCTCAGATACTCCAGCGTTCAAAAAATTCTCCGATAGTCGACCGATGGGACATAACATTGTAGATAGCTTTTCGCAAATCCCATGTGATTTGGCTAATGAACTCTGAGTTGCACCTGGCTGTCTCAGCATTTCCATCACATTCTGCTTCTCTCTGATCGATGGGCACCTGCTCGCCGATCGCCTACATCGATGTGACATCCTCGCAAGGATTATCCAATCAGTGAACAGTGTCATAAACGCGTCATACTAGGTGGCTGAGTGCGACATTTCAGGATAAATGGCCGATAGTCGTCCTGAACATCGGCCAACGACCAAGTGAGTACGTATCAGGAACTGCGACATATTGAGGGGTGCGACATTGTATAGTCAGAAACTACATTATTACGCATGCGGTTGGTTTGAGTTTTCAAAAATGTGGAAAGATATTGGAAAATGTGACTTCTCAGGGGTGTGACAGAACAGGAGATTGACTGTACCTCCAAAAATACGGTAATTGTTTGAAGTCATGAAAGATACCGAGCAATTGATCAACTAGTTTAGGTATATTACTTTACGACTATAAGCTTGAATAAGTGTCTAAGGTTAGCCCGATTAATGAAAACACTCAACCACGTGCATTCATATGATTAAAAAAAACCGCATTGTTGACCTCTAAAGTATGTGCATGGGGTCTTCAATAAGAGGGAGCCGTGATTACGTTATCACCGGTCCCCAGTTAGTCTACACACACACACACCAAATATATTTTCCGCTTAATCACTCATTGGGATGAAATCTCAGAACAATGACTGAGCTGGATGAACTAAGGAGTGATGTGACCTAACGAAAAGGATGGATTATCAAAACAGTATTAATGCTTCATTGATCATATGCAATCTTGACTTAAAAATGTCAAATTGAAACTTACTCTAACCGATATCATCAAGGACGTGTACACAAACCTGATTTGGTAGAATGAAGGCGATTGAAATTGACAGATCATATAACTAGGTTCCAGCATCGTTGTTGATGGGCCTAGGGAATCAACTGGCTGTACGTTATGACGACATATGAACTAACTTGACTCGTCAAATTTGATTAGCCCCAGCATGAGCTAGCTAATTAGTGGTAATATACACACTATCCATACGAGAGGTCCTGTTTTCAAACTTCGGGCGGAGCGGTTGATATGGATAACTTCTAAGGCCTAATGACAGTAAAGATTCAATTAACATGTTTCCCAGTGACTGACTGACCGTGAAAATCGCGCATTGTGCGTGACAATCAATGGCAAAGTACAACCAGTAAAAATCAAAAGAATCGAACAGTTCAGATAACAAAATGTATATTTGAGTGGAAAGGGTAAATAGAAATGTATATCAATCAAGAATCGAGATCAAGATTCACAGCGAATAAGGATTCGTGCACGCTGATAACTTCCACATAAGTGATTATATTGTCCCGTTGAGAAACGACTTGATCGGGAAACAAACTGAGCAGTTCATAACCACCTACATCGGTGCTTAGCAGACCCAGAACCGTTAGCATCTGACACAAGTGGGCCTCGACAATGGACAGCAGTATTGAACAAGTGAATTCTGTTGAATAACCTTTAATCACGGGTCGGCAGAGCAACACATCGTATTGCAATAGTGGAGTACCGGATAGTTGACCGAACAATTCCAAGACGGCATTGTCCAACGCACGTCGAACGGCGAAACACAATCGAATTGAGGAAACGTTGGTCGGTGCGGTGAACCGGGTTTGAGATAGATCAACGTGGATGCATGCGTAAACGTATCGCACAGTTGTGATGGATTTAAGTCGTCGGGTGATCGGTTTTGTATTTGTTGCGAGCTGTTGATCACAATGAGGATTTAGAGGGACACGGATTTCCATCTAAAAGGTGATTCGAAAACAACCGGTCGATCAAATGATAAGTTAATCATGTCAACGGTCACGACTTACTAGAGTAGCTTTCGCCAAACTGAACCGATCATGCATACTTCCACACGACCTCAGTAAAAAGGAGCTCTTGAGAAGCTCCATGGAGCTTGGCCCCATTAGGTTGAGGTGTGGATTAATTTGTGCGCGCTTACACCGATACATACAGGGGGCACCGGACTTGGTATATTAAAAATCGATTTGATATTACCATTCTGGTTCTGCATGCTTTCGTCACATTTATCGTGTCATTGGTATCAACAAGACCAAAAACGATCCCAGGAATCAATTAACCGGTTGCTACATGGGAATGTCCGGCATTTGAACGGTGATTTTCCTCGCCACAGAATCCGAACTTTCGTTAACGGTGTGAGAAAAATTCTCGGCAAGAAACTAATGCGGCTATAACCGTTGAAAGAAGCGGAAAATTTTGAAGCGAACGGTTTGAAGAGCGAAGTAATTTTTTTCGATAAGTCCTAATCATGGTCTTACAAATCACATGAATGACATTGGTCAGATGAAAGGCTATGAATGCGAAGAATAGGAAAAAGTGTACGTGTAAAATCTGGATGACGGCTAAATTATTATCAGTCGATGTGACTTCCGTTCACTGAGACCCCATGATACATCATGTACACGTCATGCTATTCGTATTAGATGAATGCAGACAGAATGTTGGAATTAAACGTTTTGTGACACACGAGACTTGAGCTAGTATGTCAAGGCCGATTGTCCCAGTAATGAATAGTAATGAAGTACGAGCTGTATTACACCTGTTGTGAGGATTCAATTCGGTACGCTAAAAATCTCCGTATTACCTATGNCTGACGAAACAACCACGAATGTGATTCTTACCGCGTTCATATAGCCATCGGACTTTGTCGGGCAGAACGAACTAAATTACTAAATGCGAAGTCAGCTATGATAATCCCTTGCATCTCACGAAACACGGTTGTGCGACCCAGTTTCAACTAGCTCCTATTGAATAAACTACAAAAAAAAATCATTTTATAGGACGGCGTCCACACATGGGTGAGAGGACAAAAGGCTATCATATGGGTCTATAACCAGAATGTTGAACCACGGGGGTGGTTCACCTAGAGCTGACAAAAAACTGATGACAAGACAAACAAGAAAAAGCGTGCGAACCACATCCACACTATCCTGGCTCTGACAGTGTTTACCCGCTTAATATGGCATCTTTTGCGTTGGATCCCGTTCAAAGGGCTTGCGACCAAAAAAACATGATACCATCCCGAAATGGATTGCGCTTTCACACACCGCACCGAGGCACGGTGAGATAGGGTTTGGTTAGCCGATTATGAAACTCAGTAAAATTTTCATTGTTTTGGCCTGATTAAATTGACCGTTTTCTACCAACGGGTAGATCATGAACTGATTCCTTTTCAACAAAGATTCCGTGCCATAATTTGTTTTTCAAGCAGTCTGAACTTAAATATGTAAAAAAAACAAATAATGCCAATCAATTGGCACATGAACGGGTAGTTTGCCAAATGGTTTCTAATTTCACGAGAGCGATGTGACTACTGGGTAGGTTTCAGTAGTCAGTCAGCGTTAGTCGTAAACGTCAGACACGAAAGGAGTGTTCGGGGGCTGATTTTGGGCACGTTGTGTTAGAAAAACCTGATACACCCAAATTCACTCTAACTGGAGAATTAGAAAAATTTTTCCAATTGGAGCAGCTATATCTCACCTGACGGACGAATCACAAATGTCGTGTCGGTACCCATACAGAAGGCTCCGTCGATCTTCGCCAATTTGAGGCACCTGTGACGTCGTCCAGACATCTAGTGTTTATGAAAGATTTAGTGTATGTTGCAGCAGTTCGGCCAATGCTGTTTTACGGTGCAGAGACTTGGTCATTAAAGGAACAGGATAAACCTAGATTGTCGGTGTTCGAACATCGCTGTCTATGCCGCATTGCACGAGTCTGGTGGGTAAACCGGATAAGCATTGCTGAGGTTAGGCGCAAAGATTTAGGTCATCCATTGGAACATGTGGTCGGCCTCCACAGACTACGCTGGTTGGGAGGTGTTGCGCACATCTCGAAATAGGTTGTCACGGAGCGCGATGTTCTTAGAGGCAGGCAGCAGATGGAAAAAACCAAGGACAATCAAACTAAGACTTCGTATGATTGTGAAAATCTTAACCAGTAGACTCGGTCACATAAATTACGTTAAGCTCCCTGGATGGGGACCCCGAGAACATTGTAACCGGTGGTTAGAGACGATGAGTGATGGATGGACGAAGTGTCCCAACCAGTGGCGCTAATGCAGACCCAATCCATATGAGTTCCCTATCTTCGTCTTGACTCTGCTCTCAACATTCCAATTCTCATTCTGCTCTTTTGTCCAAATGGGCAGCCGTAAGACCGCGCAAAGGTGTATGGTGAATGTGTGTAAAAACTGAACTGATCTATCAAAACAATTCGCTAGAGATGACACAAGTATTATCATCAATTCGTCAAACATTTCGGAAATATTTGGCCACCACTGTTCGCTGCTGATCTTTATGATTTTCACATTATTGATGCTGCAACTAAACGCAACAGTATGGTAGGACGTATGACCGGATCAAACAGATTGTGTAGTCTTTAGCGGGGTTTACCAGAGTTACACCATGTGTTTATTGATCTCCAACTTTGCAATGGATAGTATAAAAAAATAATTATTCCAGTTCTATCGTCGAGAACAGGATTCCTTTCAGAGAACAACGGACAAGTTAAAGCCCTGGAATGACGTCACTGTCGTACTTGGAACCTAGCAACAAAAAACGGTAGTGAAAGCCATGGAATGTGTGTCAAGGCGTGATACGTGCTTCGTTCCAGTTAGACGCTAAGCAAGTCTAATACTGCCAGGAATTAGCTCAGAAAACCAATATGTGGACCGAAGGGTTTTTCATTTCAGAGAAACTTTAAAACTCGCCGCGGATATTGGCGATGAGACGAAACAGTTCAAAAAGGGAACCCCATTTTCGGTTGCAAAACCAGGGCGCGTCTATTGCTTCTATGCTATAAAAATCTGTTCTGTTGGACAAGTGTGCGATACCACCATTCAGACAGTTTTGCTTGCTTCACTGCTGAGAAGCAGCTCTCGCGAGTGAAGGACGTTATTGTCCGCTTCTTCTAATGACGAAATGTAAATATGGACAAGGTTTAATGATATGTTTTGGGTCTGGATAACCATCATCCAAACAAAACGATGGCATCATGAGGCCCCGCGTTGCTTGAATACACACGGCTGCCAGTGTTACTTATGATGTACTACTCCGATTAGGTGAGTTGGTGGATTCTTACAATATCCACAAATGAACAGGACATCACGGAGCGGAGCGGGTAAATAGCTTGAATATTATAACAGGAAATGTGGACAGACTGGTCAAGTGCTTTCATGAAACCGTGATTGGGTTGTTTCAGATTACCTCTTTCGTTATATGTAACCTGATTTACCCACTACCCATGGCATTCCTAAAATAAACAATTCCCCCCGGTCCGGCATCAGCCTTAAGAATTTATACCACCAGTAGACGAACCCATTGTATTTCTCGGTCCAATGTCAACTGAGAAAGTACGCGATGCGAAACACAGAAATCTGCACTGGTGATAAACTCCGCGGTTACTATCGTCTTATAGGCAGCCACTATCCGATAAATTCGAGCAACTGATTTCGAAAGAAACAATCGTAGTAGTAGTAGCACCGGCAGCAATAGAAGCAAGTTTTAGCTCTTTAAGGTCCCTCACAAACAGGTAGTTCCAAGCACAAAATGAATCAGGCAAACAGAAGCACAAATGTAAAGCATGAACCAATGATAAAGGGGTAATGTTGTATTGTACTAGCGAAATGTTCATTAAAATATTCCGATAAGCTTGGCCAGTCAAGTGTGTAGGAGTAGCATGACGAAATTGGGATGAGAATTGAAAAAAAGCTGAATGCAACATTTGAAATGATTGCAACTAGGAGATGGATGATGAGTGAGAGAAAGAGAGGAGCACAAACACTACAAAAGCGAACAGGGTGAGGTGGTATGGGTCAGAGGGAGTGGGATTGAATGCAGTATTAACGTCAATTGCACTCACATGGACCGCTGTACGTGAGTCTTTCGTGAGAAACAGCCACATACAAGTATACACCACTCACGGAATAGAGACATACCCGATGAGTATCGTGCGCGAACAAAACAGAAACAATTATGACGGTTATGGCAATCAGTGTTTGTGAATGAATGAGAAAGTGCAATTGGGGTAGGGAAAGAGGCCGATTGCGAGGAAGCAAAGGAAGCTGATGTAGGATGAAGACAGGTCAGCGAGACAAAAAAATGACACCTACAAGTGGTTGATGAGATACTTTAACATGGCCAACACATGCAATACAGTATGAGAGTGAGGAGAGAAGAAATATGAGGTGAAGTTACATAACAAGTGACAACGTGAAAAAAATCACGATTAAAACCACAAGTGTCACACGAAGCGGCGTCACGGCGCATGAGCGTTATTTATCTCGGTCCACGGATGACATCATGGAAGATCAGATTGGTTAAAATCCATCAGCTATCCATTCGTCCGCGTAATCCGATCAGACGCGAGATCGAATTGGGGCGCGCACCAACAGCATTCTCACACTGCGGTGAGTCAGAAATCACGATGGTATTGAAAACTTCCGTCACGACAGTCAAACTGTTGTTGTTTTTGTTTGACATCACAAAATCCGCTCAAAGAAAAAAAAGTACACGGAAGCATCATTCAATGCAAGGTCAAATTATTAGATAATACTACCGGATTAAGAATAGAATATGAGGCGAAAACACAGGTAAAATAATGAAACAATTAAGTAAGGTACGGACAGCAAAGGTAGAATAAAAAACAGTAACAATAGCAATAACAGTAGATGAAAAATTGTCGAAAATTAATAAAATGACAGTAAGTGACGGGGGGGTGGGGGTGAACGGCGATGGGTAGCGTAGAACAAAGCATGGGTGTTCACAATGGCGACAAAAGCATTTCGAAACGAATTCGTATCGTCGTCACTACAAAGCAAAAAGCGAACCAAAATTATGATAACAACACATGAGAGTAAGAGTAGTAACTCTCGTAGTACACTAAGTAACAGTAGTGAACACAAGTCACGAACCACGACACAGCATTCAGAAGCGAGCGAGCAGCAACAAGCATATTGGAACAGATCGTTATGATCGAATAGGGAAATGGCAGAAAGCTCAAATGATTGAAAATAAAGTTTGAGTGACTAGCAGTTGTGTGTGTGTGTGTGTGTAAACATGAACAAAGACGAATTCCTCGTGTGGGGAACAGAACAAAAAAAGAGAGGGACCGATTGTGATAGCGATAGCCTCAAACCCATCGTTGTTGTATGACGAAGTATGCGAACCGCATAGTGAGAGAAACGAGGCGAGACCAAGAAGCGTTTATTGAACATTTCAAAAGAAGGAGTGTGTGAGAGAGAGAGATTGAGGCAAAGACAATTATGAGCTAGCCACAGAAAAAAACGAAACGTCCGCTCAACGATGGACGAGCATTAAATCATACGAGAGTAGTGAACGTTAATGAGGGAGGACGTGTGCCACGAAGCGATTATTCATGCACGCGAATACGATAAATGGTGGGTTCGCACGGCTACTGCATTCATGTCGAAAAGCATGCGATTGGGTGTTGTAATGTCCGCGCGTTAGATTTCGGCCACCGGCAATCCGTAACGCTCAGCAAGGGACAGGCAAGCGCTCGGTTGTGAATCATCCACCTCTTCCAGACCCAACCCGTTGATCAGACGACGTGGAGGCAAAGCCGGAGGTGGTGTACATGTTGTGCTGGGCACGGGCACAGCGGGTTTGACCATGGTACTAGCTTGCAGATAGTTGTTCATGGCAGACGAATTGATTTGCGCATGACTGTTCCCATTATTCGGTCCACGTGACAGAACAAGACCGATAGCTTCGTCGTAACCCGGAGGAGGGTGATCTTCGTTAATCTCACCAGGGATGGTGTAGGTTGAGTCTATACCATTCGTGCTATTAGCCGTTGCATAGTTATCTCCGTTATTATTTNCGCAATCCATTTCTTCGGTCGCCGCATACAATGCCGCCATTGCAGCTTGCTGATCGGCCTCTGTCAATGAGTCAGACTGAATGGAACTGATTGGGGTGCTCACAATTTGAGCTCTCGTAGTCGGAGTAACCGCAGCGACCAACTGTTGATTTGTTTGTGAATTATTCACAAACGGTTGTGCTACTGAGGTGTTCACAGGAGTGNTTGGCCTTGAGGTTGCTGTTGTTGTTGTTGCTGAGGCTGAGGTTGAACTGGCTGGATGTTTGATTGTGGGACTGGTCTGGATGGAGCACGAGACTGCTGTTGGCTTGCAAAAGACTGGTGCTGTTGTTGCTGCTGCTGTTGCTGTGGTGGAGGAAGTTGGACCGGTTGAACAACCGAGCGACGATGTTGTGGGGTTTGCTGAGCGCCCATAACAGCACTTGGGACGGAGGGTGTCGTAGGAACCGAATTTATGGATTGCAGATAGTTGTTTTGAGGCTGGGTCGGTATTTGCGGTTGTTGCTGAGCTTGTGGCTGTTGTTGTTGCTGCTGAAGACCGTTCTGCTGAGGTTGCATTTGTTGTGGTTGTTGCTGCTGCTGGAGGCCGTTTTGCTGAGGTTGTATTTGTTGTTGTTGCTGCTGCTGTTGCAATGGCTGAGGTTGGTTGAGTTGGGGTTGAACGGTTGGAACTGGATTTGGCACGGCAAAGGATTGTGCAGTGTTCGACTGCTGGATAGGTTGGAAGTTACCCATCACATTACCCTGTACTGGTGCAAAAGGTTGCTGTTGTTGTTGTTGCTGCTGAGCCGGTTGAAAAAACTGTTGTTGTTGTTGCTGTTGCATAGGCTGTGTTTGAACAGGATATTGCATAGGTTGTGAGACAGTAACCGATGGAGCGCATGTATTAAATTGGCCGTTATTTGTGGGAGCCATCTACGAAAACAAGGAAGCGAGGATAAGTAGGGTTAGCGCACAATTCAACAACAGAAAACAGTCACAAACAGGTAAAATTATTTCATAAAACGACCCATACAAAACAAAAAGATGCCGCGCTTCGGTGGTTCACCTAACCGGGGACAAGTGCCCGACTGTGTTAAAATGAAAAACCTGACTCAACCACAATGCCAGTTTAGGTTTCATCACTTTCCCGTGATCTCTAAGAGTAGATAAGTAGATAAAAGGTAACATGAACAATTCATACGCTGCCACACTCGTTTGTTTAACTTTTACCACTATTCAGTGTTGGAAACTTATCTGTTTCAAACCGGTGGGCAGGCAAAGTTGAATAAATCGAATCCCGAGGTAACTAGATCGTGGAAATTAGCTGTAAGACGAATACACCCACCAACTTCAACAACAAAAATAATTAAACTTGCGGAACCCCAATGACACAGATGTATCTGACAACAGACACGACTGTTTTTCATCCCGTAAACGGCACTTGGGGTTGATTATCATAGTCGCTGTTCGGTTAGGACAACCAACTCCCTGAGACCAGGGACTACGGAAATTCTGAGTGTGTTAGGCCAGCTAGTGAGTCAGATGACAGCGAAAATGCTCACCCCGGAAGAGGTAAACCACACGAAACTGAGCATTGGCTGCACACAAAAGCAGCAGACAGTAAAATGAAACCATATCTGACTGTCGTCTTCTTAGAAAGGACCACAGAAAGCGTTGTGAGGATCTCGGGTAATTGAGCAAAGTCAAGTATGACTAGCTGAAATGCAACGTCTATCAGCTTCTATACAAACCATTCGACGCATTGAAGCAGAGATGAGTTGGTGCTAGACAGCAGTTAATGCAATAAGCCTTAACGAAAATCTCAAGCGCTAAACATGAGCCTGGAAGAGGAAAAAACACAAGACCAGAGTGTACCGAGCGTAGCAATCGAATCGACGGGAGAAAAAGCGATGGGTGACAAAAGATTGATTAGCGGTAAGAAAAACGTGCCTTCTACATGAAGACGTGCAGAAACTGGAATAAACAGAAACCGAGAAAAAGATGCTCAAACATTCTTACCATTTGTTCGGTTGTACAGGTATTCGGTAACATGGATTGTGACATCAAAATCGGAGCCTGTTGTTGCAATTGCTGTTGCTGTATTTGTTGTGGTTGTGGTTGCATTTGCCCGACAGTCCCAGTTGAATCTGAAATGTCAAATAACATAATAAAGTAACAGTGGCTGTCCGCGTCTATTTATCGGAAAGTAAATGAAAAAGATTTCAATACAAACAAAAAACCATCTCGCAATTACTGAGGTAGTTGTGTATGCTCCTGTGCCGTAGAAATTATCGCAGTTTCTATGAAGAAAAAACTTCCATTCTCACGAATCCGAGATTGATTTGTTCGAAGAATTCGTCCACTGATTTGAATTTTTTGCCCATTGTTCTGTCAAATACCACGGGAAGTCGGTTGACCAAAATGAGGATATCTGACCGCTTACCGTAGACCCTGCTCTGTGTGACAAGAAAGAAAATAATTTCCTTTGACTTTCGACTTGCTAAAGAGACTGCTGCAAGATTAAGCGACTCTATAACATGCCGACAAGGAACGGGGATTAATTTGTTTATATCCCGTAATGAATTTGAACAGGCAAGTCAGAAGATAAACACTGTGAGAGGAATTCCTTTCATACACTCTCACCGGCGCCTCCCCTCTCCCCACTCAAAAAATTGTCGCCCAGTCGAATCTACCTTTCATTGCATTTACGCCCTCTGTTGCAGCTGAAACAAAGCACACATTGGTAGAACCGACTGATCACTACGAATTGGAATTACCGAGGTGTGTGCGTGATTCTATAACTCAGCCCACATCACAGATTCTGACTGCATCACGACCATTGCACGTCACTTAGTTGAAAGCGGTCACCAGGTAGACCTTGCGAAGGCGTTATCGGTTTGTTACGTCATCAAGACAAACACCGACATGGATACTCGAGGCATTATCGATCGCTCACAACAAACCCTCACTGTGTCCAAAAGCGTATGGCCTTTACCCTTGGCCCTCTCTGGTTATAACCAATCACATGCATCACACACACGTTTAATACCAACTAGATTTCTTAATTCGCTTCATTTGTCGATCATGTTCAATGTTATACGTACACGATCCGTGAGAGTAAAAGAAAGGAATTAATCCCGCAGTATCTGTCTTCTGATTTGCATGTTCTAATTTGTCACACAGAATAGGTGCTACTGTAGCCAACCAAATATCCTTATTTTGGTCAGGTTCTTCTCGGAACTAGAGGCATTCGCTTGGAAGCCTGATGCATACAAAACTAGAAAGAATGCCGGTCTTCGCGAAAGATAATCAGGACCCCTCTGCCCATTGCATCGAGGGATAGGGGTAGTGGTAATTGGGCCACTATTCAGAGATTTACATTTTAGTTTAATTCTTTGTTTTCGTTTCCTAAGCTGCTCTCTTTACATATCCTTTCCACCCGTAACAGTTCATATAAACAGATACCAAACATGATTATATTATCAGCCAAAGTGATTGCAAGTGACCAGAATCAGAACTCAGTAGAATGTTCAACTGTGCATACACTTCACTGAGTATTACTTGGCATCAACTCACAGGGATAATACCTTCACTGAAACTACTTGCGTTACAAAACTCAGTCGAGAAGAATGAGTGGGGATTCGAAAAGGGACTACTCTCAAAAATGTAGTGGTATAAAACACCGTTGTGAGCCGACGACGAGACCGCACCTTGACGTTTTGTGATGGCTTGCGTGCCTCCATAATCCTGAGAGCTATACAGAAAGGCTCCTCACAGCCGCAGATCCAGATGGGTGGTGGTGGCGCAGTGGTTTAGTCGCTGTCACCAGCGTGCTATAGACCCCATGGTCCGAGGTTCGAGCCCCGCCACTGCCACCCGACTTTGGTGGTAGGCAGCTCTGCTGTCGTCCGGTTCAA